AACTTGGAAACATGAGGGAACTACCAACTTTTTACCAATTTCTCAGCCTCTTATTACATTAGTGAGGGCTCATAATACCAACAAAATACCAAACACGTTAGGATTGAAATACCAAATACCAAGTTGGTATCGGTTTGGTATCGGTATACCAAAAAGTTGGTATCCGATTGACATCTCTAGTTAACCCGCGCCCTGGTGGGGTCTGTTTATAACGCGACCTGGTGGGGGGGGGGGGCTATTTTTTGCCCCCCTCGTATCTCCGAAACTACTGGACGGATCCGCAAAATTCAAACGGCGTTCGATAGCCCTGTCAAATTTGTCGAGGGAAACCAAATTTTATTGACCTCGGGGTCACCGATGACGTCACAGGTCAGGTCAAAGATAAAATGTTTCACCGTTCACGGGGCTTCTAGGGAAAGCGCTATAACACCGAGTAAAACGCATTTTGTCGAAAATCAGCTATAAGACGTCAGTTGTCTAGTACATATGTTGCTATTAGAGGTCACTGGTCATACCAGGTCAGGTCACAGGTCAGGTCACCAAAGGTCACCAAGGGTCACCACATGATCCCAACTTTACTAAGGTTGTGCGATGCATGTTTTATGGCCAGTTTTCATTTCCAACCCAATGGTGTTGGTTATAAGACCATCAGGTACGGTTTAGGTCACTTTCTGGTGGAGGTCAGGTCAAGGTCAGGTCAAAAAAGGTCAAATTTCAAAGTTGATATTTTTGCATAAAAAGGGTATCGATTCGATGCAGCTCGTCACGGGGAGTCTAATGGTGGTCTTTGTTTTGCACTACGAGGTCTAAAATTGCTAAAAATTGAGTTTGAAAATTTGACGTCATCAATTTTGAACAGTTTTTTCGCTATAACTTCGCCAAAAAAAGAGGTATCAATCTAAAATTTGGTATGTGGATGGAAGGCGGTAAGGACTATCACATATATTCCGGTTTTTGCGAAATTCAAAAAACTTTTTGGATTTTTTGACTATTATATCCCAAAAATCTATTTTTTGATTTTTGGGGGTCAAAATAAAAAAATTCAAAAATCTGAGATAGCAGTTTTGTAGCCCTGTCAATTCTACAGCTTTTATGTCCTAAACATTTTTCTGTATTTGAAAAGCTATAGGCCTGACAGCTCTTCCCGCGAAACCCTTTTTTGGGTCGAAAACGGCAGAACATGACGTCACTCTGACGTCATTTCCGGCCAACCTATCATAGCTTTTGGAAAAAATTTTGGTCACAATGTGTAAAATTGATGTCCGGGAGGGTACTGAAAGTTTGGTGACGATCGGCGCAGCGGTTCTGGAGATATATTGAAAAGTCTGGAGGGGGGGGGGCAAAAAATAGCCCCCCCCCCCCACCAGGGCGCGGGTTAAGATGTTCATTAGTAGGTATTATTCGCACATACCTTCATGAAGGGTAGGTGACAAGCGAAACTTGACCCTTCGGAATTGCGATTTTGTCCAATGTCCAATCCGGATTTTGTTGGACAATTGCAGCAGACTTTGGACAATATTGGACAACTACATACTTCCTACATCTCAGCGTTTTTACAAAGCATTGTATAACATTGAATGGCCAATGGCCATTGAAAGCTCAGATCTCGATATGATAAACACTTTTAGTTGAAGATAGTACATAAAGCAAATCAAACAACAGCGTTTAGTGCAGAATATTGCGTAGGTTTTAGGCATCTTTGAACAAATGGCTGGCTTGGGCATTTTTGGACGAATAGTCGACGAAAATACCGGATATTGGACGGTGATATTTGACGTACATTTTCTGGAACTGACACCACTAGAAGGTGTGCAAAGAGTACTCGTATCAATAGAGGTAGTTCAGTAATGCAAAATTTGACTCCCTGTGTAGCTCAGGATATCGAACAAACTCGATTCCTGTGATCGATAATTTGCGAACAACTGGGTAATGCGTTATTGGTAGCACCAATCTTAGACTGGATTAGATGAAACTTGTATGGAGCCTGCTGCCACAAGGCTGGATTTTATGAGCTGACTCACCGGTAATACATTGAGAATCTTCTTATGCTCTCAGGTTTGCTGCAGAGCAAGTGCGAAAATATTGGCTTGGCGCATCAAAAAAAGTCCCGCATATTCCCCGCATTGGAGGGTGGAACTGGAGGGCCTTGGATAGAAGACGGTAGGGACTATTATATATATATATATATATATATATATATATATATATATATATATATATATATATATATATATATATATATATATATATATATATTCAATTTTCTACGAAATTCGAAAAAAAACTTTGGGGGATTTTTGGCTATTATATAAAAAAAAATATTTTTGTATTTTTGAGGGTTAAAATGCACAAATTCAAAATGTGAGGTAGCAGTTTTGTAGTCCAATTAATTCTAAGCCTTTTATTTCTTTAACAATTTTTATCTTCAAAGATGTAGGCTTATGAGCTCTTCCCGCGAAACCTTTTTTGTCGAAAATGGCAGAACATGACATCATTCTGATATCATTTGTGGCCAACCTTACAAAGCCTCTGAAAAATGATCATAAGTAAAATTGATGCCCGGAAGGGTGCTGAAAGTTTGGTGACGATATTTGCAGACGCTTAGGATATATCTACGGAAAAGGACAGGGGGCGTTTCGCCCCCCACCCCTCCCCCTACGGAGCGCGGGTTAATAATGGCCGTTTTCACGACGGGCTATGCGGCGAATGCACCTGATTTGACCAAATCTACACCTAATTTCTTTTACGGCAAATATCTTCATGTTATGAATTAATTCCAGTGTTTTAATCGATGATGCTTTCTGATAATATGACAAAGCAGGCATATAAGCAATTAGTGCAACCCTAGCTGATAGCTGCTAAGAGACACACTGAACCTGATTTGACCAAATCTGCACCTAATCTGTACCAGATGTGCACCAAATGTGTACCAAATGGCCGTCGTGAAAACGGCTAATAACTCCCGACCAAACTGAATAAGTAAATCTAGAAGTTGGTGACAATGAACTCAAAATGAGTTATGAAGTGAATGCTTTGCAAGTTGACCCGGTTGACCTCCCTTGACCTGCTTCGTAACAGCCTCCTACACCTCATTATCAAGCTATGCAGAAATGGAAGACTTTTATTCTTAGTTATAAACTTCCAGGGGAAATTCATTGCACCAACTCCCAGCAGAAAAGCTGTCCGGTATAATTTCAAGGTAGGCAATCAGGTAGAGTTTTTTCGAATAGGTTTCAGGTGCGAGATAATCTAAGCAAATAGCAAACGATCTAGATACATATCTAATACATCTTGGTGCAAGAGGCTTCAATCAAAAGTATATGACCTAACCTTGGCCAGAGGTAAGAGGTCGACACTCGACACCCAAGCTGATGTTCCCCTCCCCCCCCCCCGAAAAAAATACACCGCTCGATACGACTGGCCAGCATGGCTGCATTGCATGCCTGCATGGCCTCAGTTTTGCGATCATTTTTAGTCAAAGCTAACCAAAAAACCTGACCCCTTCCTCACGATCATTTACTGAGCCTGAGGGACATGAAGCCTAAAACTGGGAGGAGTTGCTTCGCATCGTAACGGCCCACAAGCTCATTTTTCGCAAGGGCATAAGTTGAATTAACCCTCGCATGTGTAGGGGGGGGGGGGTCGGATGGACCCCCCCATGGTTTTTCGCGAATAACTCGCGTAAAAATCGGCCGATCGCAACGAAACTTTCAGTACTCTCACATTGATCAATTTTACACCTACCCTGAAAATTTCATGACCCTGACCCAAATGACCTTTGAGCTGTGACCTCTTTTCCGAGACCATGTTTGGCCGGAATCGCGATTCTGCGTATGTCGGCTCGCATTAGCCGCGCGTTTGCAAGCTTTTCGTGGTTTCAAACGTTCAAACATGTGATTTGATGTTGCTTCCATGCATTAGGGTGGGTGTCAAGGTCACCTGAAGGTCAGGTCAGGTCATTGACCTTTGGTGACCTCGGGTGACCTCGGTTCACTTTTTCGAGTTTTACATGTTTCTAGGCTAGTTTTTGGAACTGGATTCGAATTTAGCAACCATTTGAACATTTACGAAGTAGTTTTGGTGCCTTCGTAACATGTTACGAAGCTGTCAGAGGCGGTTGAACCGTACTACGAATACCCGTCACGACGCCTACTGGTTGACCTGACCTGACCTGACCCGACCTGGTCTAAATGCTTAAAGACATCATCTGTGATCAAAACTAACACGATATTCGTGATCAGCACCCCGAAAAACCCCTTAGCAGCCACACTTTACGACTTTCTAACAGGTCCCGATTTTCCCGACTTCGGGTCATTGACCTGACCTGGAAGGTTAACCAATGACCTAGGACCTTAAAATTGGGTATCATCGGCTTCCTCTCGTCACGGGCAACACGCTCGTTTTTTCCGCGAAGCTCTAACTCGATCAGGGGCCAAACGGCAAGGGGGGGTCCAACCGACCCCCCCCCCTACACATTAGAAGCTGGCAAACGCCGCACACATGCGAGGGTTAAAGCCCGATAGGCGATGTCTTTCTTGTTCCTCAGCTTTAGGCGCATGTAGTAAACCAATTGGTCCGGTAGGGTTAAAATGTAAAATATTGTTGCAACAAAAATACAAGACAACACAAAACTTGCACCTTATAAGTTGGCAACGACAAATTGCCTCTTAAAAAGACATATCAGCTCTTCATAAGAACGCATATGAATGATTATTTGCTTAGCTCGAGTAGTGGCGCTTCACTCATCGCAAACCAACCAAGTACCTATCAGGTGCACTGGGCTAATGTTGGAAGATCTATTTGCACCAAGCTCATCTCTTTGAGTGTTGGAGCATAGAAAAGTAGTGTTGGAGCATAGAACAGTATTCTAAAGAGTTGGACGGTGGCACATTTTCTTTGGCAGCTCTGGAGCTGGCGGTGGCAGCGGTCCCATCGGTAGCGTGCCTCTACGACCGTGCAGCAGGGGGCGCCCCCTCTCGGGCACAGACAATACCGAAACCACTCCCGATCTGCGAGCCATTCAAAGTCCATGTTTTCGCTCAGTTTGACAGCCACCTGCACACCCATAAGCCACAAGGATGCTGGTAAACATCTCCACAAACAGTGGACAGCAAGCATTGAAGCTTTCCTGGCTGCATTTCTGGCCGTACAGCAGTGAAAGTGTTGCACTTGGCGCATGCGCAGTTGAGCCGGGTATAAAAGCGCGGCGGCCCAACATTCGCCCCGTCAGAACGCAGAGATGAGGCGCTTCTTGTGTGTAGTGGCGCTCGCCGTCGTCGTCGGTGAGTACCGGGAGCCCTACTGACCTGACCTCAGGTCAGCCATGGATGAGACCGAGCTGAATGGCCTATGCGATAACTTGGGTATAGGTCAACCAACCTATGGTGACTCGGGTCATTTTATTATGTGAACACTTTTACTTTCATTCTAACATAACAGTGCGGTCATTGGGATGCCGACAATTATTTTTCTATGGGAGGTTCGACAAATGATGAGCTTCTTATCCAACTGAGATTTTATTGTGGCTTTTATTTTGACATGAAATGAACAATGTCTAGGTATATTTGTTTTATTCACTATTGATATACCACAGCTTTATACAACCACAGAGTAATTCCTTTGATAGCGTTTGTGTCTTGCCGGACTGGGCTTCTTCAAAGTTGCATTGTTATTTGAAGACATTCTACAAAACAAAAATGTTAAGCCTGCGCAACACAGACTTGTTTTGAGAGGCTTCGTCGCTTCATGATGCAGGATTGCACGACTTATTTTGCAGTTAGTGCATGTATTATTCCTGCAGTCAGTTTTGGGGCTCCTGTTTTACCTTTTACATTTACGTAAACGCTGATTTAATTGAAAATTTTGTTCAAATTCTAAAATTATTTTCTTTTAAGTTATATTGCAAGCAAATGAGCAGTTGAGCCTACAAGCAAGAAAAAAAAATCATCAAAAAAATTGTTCCCACGTCACAAGTGTGTTCCAAAAAAAAAAAATCCCCTTTGGCTTGGAGCACCAACGGCAAGAAATTATCACGCCTTGTAGCTTATCCCGCGCCCCGTTGGGCTCTGCCGAGCAACGCGCCCGGTTGGGGGGGGGGCCATTTTGGCCCCCCCCTAAGATCTCGAGAACCACGCAACATAGCGACAAGCGGTAAACGGCGTTGGATAGCCCCAACGGGGAACTACCTTGTGACCCAATTTTATTGACCTAGGTCAAACCGATGACGTCACAGGTCAGGTCAAAGGTCCAATTTTCACCGTTTACAGGCACTTCAAGAAATGCGTTGTAAAATCGAGTAAAATGCATTTCATTGAAAATCATCGATGGGGAAATGTTCTTCAAACACATATTTTGCTATTTGAGGTCACTGATACCAGGTCAGGTCACAGAGGTCAGGTCACGGGGGGGTCACAATATGAAAGTGTCGTGTGATACATGTTTTATGGTCCATTTTACATGACAAATGCGATTATATGGGTCAGGCAGCCTTTGGGGCCAGCTTAGATCACGTTTTGGTCAAGGTCAGGTCAAGGTCAGGTAAAGGTCAGGTCAAATTAGGTCAAATTTCAAAGTTAATATTTTTGCATAAAATGGGTATCGAATCGATGCAGCTCGTCACGGGGAGTTCAATGGTGGTCTTTGTTTTGCCGTACGAGGTCTAGAATTGCTAAAAATTGAGTTCAAAAATTTGACGTCATCATTTTTGAACAGTTTTTTCGCTATAACTTGGCCAAAAAACGAGATAGCGATCTAAAATTTGGTATGTATATAGAAGAGCGCTGGGACTATCACATATATTCCGTTTTTTCGAAATTCGGAAAAATTTCGGATTTTTTCAAAGTTTTTATAAAAAAATCAATTTTTTGATTTTTTTGGGGTCAAAAACCAAAACTTTTGAAAATCCGAGATAGCAGTTTTGTAGCGCCGCCTTTTGTCTACTAGACCATATAAAGAACTTTGAAATTGCTTGATAACTGTAGATTTGGTGAGCGTTTCAAGATTGCATGTTTTTTGCTCATTTTTGCTCGAACATGACCTCAGTTTGACCTTAATAACTCCTGACCTAAGGTGACCTAAGACTTGAAATTTGGTGTGAAGGTGTCAAATTGATGCCCGGGAAGGTACTGAAAATTTGGCGGCGCTGCGCGCCGCCGTTTTCTTGCTATTCAGGAAAAACCACAGGGGGGGGGGGCCAAAATGGCCCCCCCCCCAACGGGGCGAGGGTTATAAATGGGAGAAATGCTTCAACGGTCCAATGTTGTCTGATATCTAAATTCGTTCCAAAACATGAGATACTGTCTTGATTATGTTTATTGTACAGCCAGGGGTTAATGAAAAGGGGCCCACGGTCGGCCGTCTATTACTTTCCATGCACTGCCATTGATGATTTGTCAAAAAAGGGTCTTAGTGAGGTCCTGAGTCGGTGCCACGGTCCTATACTCCCATGGCCTCTTATGTGATCGCCAGTGACAGTTTTACTCTCCAACAAGCGCTTACAATACCTGCCAAATTATACGACAAAAGTAGACGGTCCTATACACTTAAATAGCATAGACGGTCCTAAACAGCATGCAGAGTCGATTTGTTAGCGATGTGGATGAGACGATACATCTGCGTTTTGTATTTATTGTTGATCGACAACCTCCCCTATTTTATAAAAAAAAAAATATTGATTTCAAAATTAGCATTTATGTCCATTGTTTAAACGTTATGAAGCCTTGTAATTGAATAATAAAGTAGATGCGTGCACATTGTCCCGTTAGGTGCAGTTAAATGCATTTCAATACAAACACAGAAATGTGAAGCATAGAACTTTGTTTAATCATTCCTATCTTTCAACCTTCAACAGTCCTATTGTTTTTCTTCTTCCATAAAGTATATGCTCGGAAGAGCCTGCATTGTATGCATATAACCATAAACATGTAACCATAAAGATGCTATAACAAACTGATCTGCGAGTCAGGAAAGCCAGTGAAGCGCGGCGTTTCGCGCCGACGCTGGAGTAACGCCCTCGGCGAGATAGCAGTCTAAGGAGCGGCTGGCACGGCACTGCGGAGCGGAAAATTGCGCCCCGCCCGCGCTCACCTACAGTGCCGCCACAATGGACGATTCCCAGCAAAGAGTGAAAGTATGACCGGGGCGGGCACGGTACCCCGCCAGCGCCCGGCCCCCGTCCGACCCGGCGCTGCAGTCTCCCGTGCTACTTTCTTATGCACTATTGATGTCCCCGGCTGAGCCCAGGCGGGGGCGCGCTGCCAATGAGAGGGGAGCAGCCGCCCTGCCGCGCAGATCAGCCGGACATTCACGGTACACGAGTCACGTGACCGTGTGCACGGGCCGGTGTGCACGGCGCTGTGCAAGGTGTGCAGCTGTTTGTGTCAGCTGCACCGAACTGAGACAGGCTGTTGCTTGGTCTTGTTTGCAATTTTTGACTAGTTATTGTCCGCGTGGCGGCCATTTAAGCCATCTGGGGCTGTGTTACGGCCCCATTTTTAATTATTTCTGCAAATGACAAATCATTGTTCAAGGCAAAGTCCTGCAAGCATTATCTGCAGCAAAGTTTGTCGGTGTTTTAAATCCCAATAGAGACCACAGTGGTCAGACTGCACTTGTAATTCGGTCAGATGCAGGTGATGAAACTCGGACATCCAAGGCAGACGACAGGTCTGCCCTGATCGTCCAAACCGCTAACCACCGTTCCAAAGTGCAGAGATGAGATGACATTGGATTGGAGTAGCGGTTCACTGTTAGGTGCTGAAAAGGAGTGGCACCCCGAGGGGATCGATGGATCACTCCCACTGTCTGAAGGGTCGACTGGGGGGGGGGGGGAGCGACTGCGTCACAAAGGCCGAAGGTGATGTAGGAATTGCGCAGCGTGTTAATGCTGGGCGTGGCACCCGTCTGTGTGTACCAGCATGGCCTTGGCCGGTGCTGCTTACGTAACACTGAACGGGAAGGTTCTGAGATGAACCTGAAACAGGAAATGATAAGCGAGGGGCATATTATATTCATGCTCATCTCCTACTGTAAACTATTGATGTCAGTTGGGGGAGGTTTGGTCAATGGTTGTCATTTTTAGCACATGCCATTTTTGGCAACCATGTGCTAAAAATGACAACGCTATCAGCTATTTTTAGCAACGATGAAGCCGATTTCACTCCTCAGCGAGGAAATCACGATTTTGGAAATACAAGCACTGATTTTGGAAAAGAAGTGCTGCCACCTGGTGCAAGAAGAAGAAACCAGCTTTAATATGGCCGTTGTTTGTATGGTAGTCCAACGTTGAAGTATACCCTTTTTTGTGGCCCGAAGTTGGAACTTTAAATTGAAGCATCCGAAAATGATCGATATTGATCGAAATCATGATGTTGATGAAAAAAAATAATATGTTAAGTTGAGAGAGGAGGCCATTTTATCCAGATGCGGTGGTTTACTTCTTGAAATTATTTTTGCTTACGACGACTGCCATGTAATGAGGGATAATTAGCAGCCGTCATTAGCAAAAATAATTTCAAGAAGTAAACTACTGCATCTGGATAAAATGGCCTCCTCTCTCAACTTAAAATATTATTTTTTTCATCAACATCATGTTTTCGATCAATATCGATCATTTTCGGATGCTTCAATTTTAAGTTCCAACTTCAGGCCACAAAACAAACTACCATACAAATAACAGGCATATTAAAGCTGGATTCTTCGTCTTGCACCAGGTGGCAGCACTTCTTTTCCAAAATCAGTGTTTATCTTTCCAAAATCTTCATTTCCTCGCTGAGGAGTGAAATCGGCCTCATCGTTGTCAAAAATAGCAGAATCGTTGTCATTTTTAGCACGTGTGACAAAAATAGCACGTGCTAAAAATGACAACGATTGACCAAACCTCCCCCGACTGATGTTCACAAGCTAAGGCCCTTTCAAAGGCCACTTGATTTTAATGTGAACACTCCATTGATACGTACCGAACCTTTGTCGTAGTGAATTGGTCGATAGCATTTGAAAATTGTTTGTGAGATAAACGAGTATGTGACAGTTTTCAATCTCAGTTTTCTCTCTTAAGCCAGCTTTATTCTCAACCCATCCCCATTAGATCAAAATTGATAACGAGAAGAAAGCACTGACAGGTGAAAATGCCGTTGCCGGAAGTTTCATTAATTAATAGTGGCCGTGCCCAGTTGGATTGCAGGGCCGGACAAGGGATGGCGCCGGTGACGGCCAGCGCTGGCGGCTCGCCAGACGACTAGAGACATCCCCAGCCTATTTACATTCAATTTCACCCAACCTGTCTCCGACCGGCGCTTGTGAAAGACGTTCGGCCCGTTGCAAAACCAGGAGTGCCGCGGCGAGCGGCACTGGCGCCACACCGCCCCTCGTGGCGTAACCGAGCCGGCCGACACTGCGGCGCGACCGGGCCCGACCTGCCCCGCCAGCGGCGACCACCTCCCGGCCGCCAAAGTCAAGGACGCGCCGCTCGGGCCTTGAAAGGGCACTTTCTTCGCGGCGGTGACCAGCGCGGCCGGGCGTGCCGGCCTCGGTGGGTAGCTGGCTGCCCCGCCGGCGGCGCCGAGACGGGCCTTGATCAGGGGCGAGAGAGAGAGGAGTGAGACAGACGCCGACAGACAAGGCCGCTCGGTCGAGCCAACGGAGCCGGCCGGTCGAATCGGGTGGGATACAGCGCTGGCGTCCAGGAATAGGCCGGCCAGAGGAAATTACAAAGGTGTGGGAAGTCAGTCTTACGGATTTTCCAAAACAGCTCGCATGACGGACAAAGCGTTGAACTAGCACGACAGGCGATATCTTTATCTCATCATGAGATCATAATCCGCACAGGGTTCATGGAATACTTCTGCGTATGCTGCGCAGTTTGTAGACACTGTCGCTTCATGATGTCACCCGCCGAGATAAAGCTGACAAATGGACGGTCTCGTTTTCAGCCGATGCTTCCAGCGTTCGGGAGAGGCGACAGGCCCTACGGAAGAAGGACAGCGCCAAGCTAGAGGAACTGTGCCGGGACCGCGGAGATGAGTACTTCCGTCTAGAGGATGAGAACGACTGCAAGGTCGTTTACAGGTCAGTAACATCAAAGGAAGTTTGCTCTGAACTGCTTCCGTATTATCTCTTCCTTTATGCTGTGATAAATCTTCTTGTTGCGTTCTATCTTTATCTGAAATGTCATATTTTATCAATATCACGTTTATCCTGCAAACTGGCATGCAAAACTTTTCTAAATCTTCTGGCCTCTTTCTACTTGTTTGTCATGCTCTCTTCCTCTGCTCCTGATGCATTGTTCCTTCTTTGTGATGCTTTTTTATTCTTCAGCATTTGTCTGTTTTCAGCCATTTGAGCTTTCCAGAAAATCAGCTAAACTAACCAGCTTCAGTTTCTCTCGACTAGCTTCTGTATTTATTCTTGCTCTTTATAGCCATACCTTCTAGCATTCCAGCCTTCTCCTTCGTATCTTTTTGTCTATCGCAGTGATATTTATTTGTTTTGTAACAATGATTTCATGATGTGTTTACGAACAGCAGTCTTGCACAAAAAGATTACCCTCCCCCCTCCTCCCCGGGTGTTCTCGAAGTTTGCCGTTAAGCTAATATTAGTGACGTCATGCCCCAGTGACGTAGCACCGGGCTATTTTCAGCGGGTCAGAATTACCGTTGTACTCGGCACAGTCTGATCCATCCCCAGACACTGGCTCACCTTGACTTGTCAGTGGGATGTGCCAGTCACGCTTCTCGAAGTTTCTTGAGCAGGATAAGGCTCACGCTGCATTTGTAGCAAGCAATGCGGTCAGGCTTATCGCGATAATAATAATCAGATGGATACATCCAGAAAAATCCATGGCTATGTAATGCTCATTGATCTTAGTTGTTCCTGAGCTGCAATTGGTACCGATGGTCTGATTCCATTTGTTTAAGATACCCGTCAATTATTTTTTCTCCTTAGGTAGTGCATGATAAATGGGGACAAATTGGTGTCCCTATTAGAGTGTGTGAGCCAGCATTGTGCTCTCTTTCTGATCCCATTGATATTGCATGTAGCAGGTCGGCGTTATACATATGTCATTGCCTTGAGCACGTTCAATTTTCACCACCCTTCTACTAATTGCTCTTCTGCCCGCTACTAATAAATGTCACACATGCAAGTAACGGTAAGTTCTCTGCCAACGAAATTCATTCAAAAAGAATCTAAAGCTACGTTTTTTTTGCTTGTTTCGATTCGATAAGCATTTGATAACAAACATTCCCATTCAATGAAGCTAATTCGTTCTTGCAAGATCATGTGTGACAGACGATGATAAACCATTCAGAACTCACTCCACTGTTCATCTCATTTAACCAATATACACTCAATTTAGTTGTTTCTCTTCTATCCTAATAAAGTAGAATGTCAAATTGGATAATTCAGCACCAAAAAGGTGGATTTTATAGCTCGGCATCATGCATGATTCGCGTATGACTTTCCAGGTGCGACAGGGGCAGGGATGCCACGCGGTTGGCCAGGGTCAAATGCCCCCCGAGCCTTTCATTCGATATCGTTCGGCAAACGTGCGATTGGAGTTACAAGGTTAAGAACTGTGATATCAAACAAAGTGAGTAACTGTCACCGCGATTGTTGCTGGGCGGGACGGTGGCGGCGGCTCTCAGTGGCAGCAGGCACTATACGGAGGGCGCGGGACGCTCTTGGCGTGACCCCTCCGTCAGGGCGGCTGTCACCGTCGAGCCGTCGCCACCGACCCGGCCTGACTGCTGTTGTCGTCTGCTGTAACCTGTGTCCATTTGTAGGTGCACGCGTGGTGGTCTTAAGCGGATCCAATGTCCCGATGGTTTGGCTTTTGATATCCGTCAGCAGACTTGTCTCTGGAAGAGGCACGTCAAGAACTGCGATTTGCTGTCAAGTAAGTCTCTCTCTGTCTCGGTGAAAGTGTCCGGCGGTGGAGGAGGTGCAACTACATTGGAGTCGGGTGTGTGCGCTCTCTCGCGGCGGTGACGGCTCAGGAGACACACACGAGTAGACAACAGATCGGAGCAGGCACCCCGGCAGACTAGGCGGCGGCGGCGGCGGCGATGGACGCGGCAGCTTGGTTTGTGTGTCCCCGGTTGTGGTTTTCAGTTCACAGGTCACTTGGACTGATGCTGGACAAGGCTTCGGTGGAGCAGTGAGAGTTTAGAGATGGCGTGCATGCATATAGGCGAATCGTGCTAGACTCATAGTGTCCCCTAAATGGCTGAAACGCTTCCATATAATTCTTTACACTGACTAAAAATGAATCATTGACAGAATGTGTCACACTGGTGTTCGGTGTAGCTGTATGTATTCTAAATACTGGGCAACATACATGTTTAGTGGTGGCTTTTGGAAGTGGATATATCGTAGTCGTCGTTGTCGGCGTAATCCGTTCTTTTTCAGGCGATCGGATGTATCATTTGTGTTGGAGTGGCATGAGGTGATGGTGTAGTTTCAATGTCGTTTCCGATATCGTCACGCCCGGTGTCGCACCCATCGGAGCTGCGTCTGACGACCCTTAGCTTCCAATTTCATCGCGCAACAGTCACTGTTGTGTTGTGCAATGTGCATAAGTTTCGGCTTATTTGTTGTATAATGCATTCAAAAACAGCTCACCATAATAGAAAATACGCGCTTCACTGTCATACATAGTTATTTTTATACTTAAAGCATTTTGATATTCCATATCTCACGAGTCATTCAATTTGTGGTTATCATAATGTTCTGTCATTTTCCATGAAACATAGACATCGACATACTATCTAGTATCTACTCTTACACACAAGATGTAGCGTTACACGATGTTTCCACTGTGCGTCGTCTGACCTCTGACCGGCGCACCTGCAGAGGAGCGGAAGGTGCTGCCCCTGCTGAAGACCGACGAGCCGCTCTGCCCCGTTGACCAGCTGGCCTGCGGCAGCGGAGACTGCATCGATTCCTTCCTGTTCTGCGATGGACAGCCCGACTGTGCCGACAAGTCCGACGAGAACGCCTGCGGTGAGTGGTGGACCATGAAAACCATTTCAGGGACCAGAGAGGACAGTGTGGGAGAAGAGCTACTGGAGATAGGTTCACCAGTTTATTGATAACGCATTCAAGTCGATATACAAGACGTGTTGTGATGATTCAGCTGTGGCTGTTGGCAGTCCATTGCTTGTCGAATCTCGACGTCGTGACATCACCACTGCACGTGTCTGACTCTTCATTTCCTTTCACCCTCAGAGGTCGGCGTCGACCCGAACGGCTCGTTCCTGTGCGACACGTCGCAGTGTCTGCTTCCTTCCTGCTTCTGCTCCTCGGATGGCACCCAGATTCCGGAGAACCTGGAGCCGGCGCAGACGCCGCAGATGATCACCATGACCTTCACCGGCGCCGTCAACGTCGACAACATCAACCTCTACCAGGAGATCTTCCGCGACGAGCGCCAGAACCCCAACGGCTGCACGGCCAAGGGCACCTTCTTCGTCTCGCACAAGTACACCAACTACTCGGCCGTCCAGGAGCTGCACCGCAAGGGTCACGAGATCGGTGTCTTCTCGATCACCACCAACGACGACCCGTCCTACTGGTCTGACGGCAGCTACGAGATCTGGCGCGACGAGATGGCCGGCGCTCGTGACATCATCGAGAACTTTGCCAACATCACCGACGGCACCGTCGCCGGAGTGCGTGCTCCCCAGCTGCGTGTGGGAGGCAACAACCAGTTCGCCATGATGATCGACCAGCAGTTCGTGTACGACTCGTCCATCACCGCTCCGTACGGCCGTGTGCCCATCTGGCCGTACACCCTCGACTACCAGATGCCGCACAAGTGTCTGGGCACCTCGCAGAACTGCCCGTCGCAGTCGCACCCCGTCTGGGAGATGGTCATCAACGAGCTGGACCTGCGCGAAAACCCCGAGACCGAGGAGCGTCTGCCCGGCTGCCACCTGCTGTCCTCGTGCGCCAGCATCAACAACCCCGAGCAGTTCGCCAAGATCCTGCGCAACAACTTCGAGCACCACTACAGCACCAACCGTGCGCCGTTCGGCCTCCACCTGACCGCTGACTGGCTGCAGAACAACAAGGGATTCATCAACGAGCTCATCAAGTTCATCGACGAGATGCAGGCCAAGAACGACGTGTACTTCGTCACCGAGTCCCAGGTCATCAGCTGGATGCAGGCGCCCAAGGAGACCAACGCCATCCGTGACTTCGATGACTGGAAGCTCAAGTGTGAGGTCAAGGGCCTGCCGGAGTGCTCCATTCCCAACGCCTGTCTGCTGACCACCAGGTGAGAAATACGTTTGTACTCGTTAGCTCCCTTTTCACCATTGCAAGTGCAATATCGAGTTTGATTTGAAAAATATCGTGGTGTTGCAATTCAGGAATAGAAAGATGAACCTTATGTGCTATGCCGTCATGTTCCCTCTCTTTTCGTTGTCGCTGCGTCTAACTTTGGCTTGGCTCTGTTCTCAGGGAGCTGCCTGGAGACAACTTCTATCTCAACACCTGCATGGAGTGCCCCAAGAACTACCCCTGGATCAAGGATTACACGGGCAACGGATTCGCTCTCTAAGCGCATCGCAGTCCTGTCCTGCGTGCACTGGTTGAGAGCTGAGCGAAACCAGGTTTAACCTGACTTCACGAAGTACAATGTGATTTCCTGCATGCCGCCAAGACGTGCTGCGTGGGGAGGTTTTTCATCTGTGATGGAAACACGTCAGGCTCATGCTGTGCTACGCACCATTTACTGCTAGAGCCTCTTATTTTCGAGGAACACCTGTCGCAGCACACGTTATATGCCATCGGTGTAAGGTTTGAGTCCAGTAAGAGTCAGCTGAACGCCTGGTGTCCTCCAGTGGTTTGTTTCGATATGTCCTTTGCCCCCTCGCCATATGTTCGCGGTCAATCATTTCCCGTATCCTCCAAAAGTTTCGCTAATCCTTGACGTTGACAATTGATTCGTAGCTTTCCAGTCTCTATCGCAGTGTTCTGAAGCCATGGAGACAGCGAAGAGCCACCCAGCTCAATGCAACCCCTTGCAAAACGCTGTCTAGTCATGACAATCGGTGCGAATGATGCGGTGCTGGCAAAATTGTTATGTAACACGCAGTTACATGTAAAGAGAAGCTAAACGATATTGAATTACCAGATGACCACTGAAGAGAGCAATATTACATACCTGTAAACCACAGCTGTGGTTTCAAAATGCTATTGTTGGAGGCACTCCTATTTGTATGCTGATGCGATCTTGACCTGGCTTCCGTCACCACATATTTGGGGCGCTTGCTCAGCTCCCTTCCCCATGTTATCGTTGCCACTTGTGCACGAGTGTTTAATAAATACGTGAAAGGGAACAAACCACTGTTTTTTTTCTCGAGTTAATGACTGCCAACCGAACAAACTGCGGGACTGTATTTCGTACACAATTGCAATGCTCTCCGAATGATTTCCACAATTACATGATTGTGTACGATTAAATTGGAACCTTTCATATTGTTACGCACGAACCTGTTATGCTGAAGGCACCAGATTTGAATAGTAAACGCCACATGATGAGAATTATACACGGAGAGGAAGATCACATTTTGTACCCTGTTACCTCAGTCACCAGAAGCACGTCATTTCATTAATAAAGTTTTCACCACACATCGATCAAAAAGTCACATCTGCCGATTCAAAGTAGACGAGAGCAATCCAACAAGTCATGGCAAGAGAACGGACAGTTTTGTAGGAGTGTTAGCATGTAGTGGTAGCATGATAGGAAGATTATTCTCAGAATAGATTGCAGTACTAGGAATGCAACAAAAGAGGAGTGCCATCAATGCTGTATGACTCAGATACCGCCTGAGTCATACAATGATATCAATTCCACCGTAGCAATGCGATATAGCTGTTTCTAAACTCGACTGTAAATTGCAAGTAAAGAGAATACAGCAGTGAGCTTAGTCCGTTGGTTACTCCTTGACCCGATAAATCGTTTTCAAACAAAACACATCATTTGTTCCATGTATCACGATACCTTCTAACCTTTTCGAATACAATTGATCCCAAATAAAATCCAAGTTCACAATGCTTTTTTGCAGTGTCAAGTCACTACGGGCACTTAATGTTCGTCCTGAATTGGCTTTAAAAAAGACAGTCGGGAAAAGGAGTTTTTTTAGCAATCCAGCCTGAATGGCTGAATGGCTGACTAGTGGTCGCAGGTCCCGGCATGCCCGCTAAGCGGAGCTTGTTATGTAAGTACCATTTACGCCACACCATCCAGCCACATCGCCAGTATGATATTGGCCCGAACGTTTAACGTATGGACTTACATCTCACAAAGATGAAGGCACGGTCCACCTGGTTGTCGTAGCCCTCCCACGCCAGTTGCCTGCTGTTATAAATAAAAGCGCGGGTCAAGGTGTGCAATGTGCATGCTTCCCGGCTTCTAACTCATTGCAGCTGAGTCAACAGACACTCGCCGGACCTATCGGTTTTCACGTTTTCACGAAGGGTCCACGTCAAAACAGCTAGTAACTATTGAGCTAGTGACTTTTGAGCTAGTACAAAAGAGCTAGTGCTTCAAAACAGCTAGTGACAAAACAGCTAGCGCTAAAATAGCTAGTAATGCAAAATAGCTAGTGCATCAAATCAGCTATGACAAAACAGCTAGCGTCAATATAGCTGGTAGAACAAAATAGCTAGTGCTTCATTATAGCTAGTGACAAAATCGCCAGTGTCGAAATAACTAATTAAGCAAAATAGCTGATTCGTACAAAGTACGAGCAGCTATTATACATTTTTCCTGATAAGTCCTTAGATTATTTCCCGACGACGAGTCCCGACGGGTAGAAGGAACAGAAGAGCACCGTTGTTTGACAAAATTATTTGGAATGCTAGAAGGACAGAGGACGGGATCCCTAGGACAAACAACAAATTAGAAGTGTACCGACATCCAAAAAGAACAAAGTATTTATTTAAGCATCTGATCTTGTGAAATTCAAAAGTGGCCAGGATGTTCAAAAACAAAAGAAAACATATACCTACCTAGAGCCATGAATGTCAGATTAGTCACTCTACTGAGACGCTACAGGGAAGGCATCATTAGCAAACATAATTCATTCGGAGAGTGGGTTTCAACATCACTTTGAATGTTTGATATGCCTTATCGCGGAAATACATATTTACAGTCATAGATATCTTGCATTTTCGAAGCGAAGTGAATGGGTAGGGAACAAGGTCCAACGAACTAGCTATTTTGACGATAGCTATTTCATCACCAGCTGTTTTGGGGCACTAGCCATTTTGCTTCACTAGCTACTTTGACGCTAGCTGTTTTGTCACTAGCTGTTTTTAAGCACTAGCTATTTTGATGCTAGCTGTTTTGTCACTAGCTGTATTGAGGCACTAGCTGTTTTGTCACTAGCTGTTTTAAGGCACTAGCTGTTTTGCACTAGCTCAAAAGTCACTAACTCAAATGTCACTAGCTATTCTGACTTGCACCCTTCACGAACGGGGTGGGATGTAGATTGTGGCATCACTCCCCTTGGCGTTTCGACCTTTATTCATTTTAGCTAGAGTTTCTTCGTAACAAAGTGTGTGATGGCGATCTAACAGATTCAGGTCAAGCGGTGAACTGTGAGGTCAAGTTAAATTATCTAAGGTAAGGGTTCTTTCTTGTAGAATTTTCATGCAAAACGTGTCCGCAGAGGCGCTATTTTGGCATCATATCGGCGAAGTCAAATGATTTTTTTTTTTTGTTAGGAAAAGTTAATGAAGAGTCTAAGACCTCATGTCAAGTTCCGCGGGTAAGGCCGCCCAGATCGCGACTAGCCGGTCAAAAGAGGCCATATCCCACATGTCGTTCGATTTTAAAAGTCATCTTTAGTACGTTGATGGCTTTCTCGACTCGGTGCTCAGCTTGCTCGAGATTAAATGACGAAAAGCTTCGATCACCCCAAGCGACCTTAGAGAAGTCATATATGACGTCACTAAGGTGTACATTGTCAGAATCATAGCACATCTACCCAGCACCCAGCCCAGTCAATTCGACATGTTTATTGACAGAAATGTGATGGTGGTATAATTCACTATCATAGCTGCAGCATGACAAATAGAGTTGAAGAAAACGACGTTTTTAAGTATCGGCCACTTCTTGATCTTCTTGATCAATACTTCTTGATCAATTTTGGCCAAATGAAAAATATATAAAACAGACACCAGCTGCTCTTTTTGTCTTTTCCACCTTTCAGCTCAGCTTACGGGCGAAGGCGTCTGACGTTATCCGCTTCACCATCATTAATCGCGAAATTTGACCTTCGAATGCCTTCAGACTTCAGCGGCCTCGTTGTACTGACCTGAGTAAAAATGGCTAGGACGCTTTCGAAAGTAGCTACTCTAGCGTCATGAAGTTTTTCTTTGCATACCATTCGTATACCTTTTGATATATTCGTTGTAGCCATTGTTGCATCCTTTCAATTGGATGAAGCCCCTTTTCGGAAGTGATAGGTATCAATGCCAAGGCATGATAATTGTTACGTGAAGGCGTTTATGTAATTGAGAAATATGATAAATATTGGTAGATAGCGCTGAAAACCGGAAAATAGTCCATTACTTTAACCCAACCACCGCAGCCCGGGGGGGCGTTTTTCGCCCCCCTTGTCTAACTCCGTAAATAAGGGAGCTACGGAAACAAAAGCGGTACCAAACGAAAGGTCCTTACCAGACAATTTTAAAGCACCTAAAATTTTTGACCTCAGGTCAATTTTCAAGGTCAGAGGTCAAGGTCAAAGGCAAAAACCGGCACATGTGTAGTGATCTCAAAGTAAGCCTTTTAGAGGACGGCAGGCTGCATCAAACCGGCAAAATTGGATGTCAAACGAAAGAAGAGAATCTGAGAATTCCGAAAATGTGTCTAAAATTAAAGGTCAAGGTCAAGGTCACGCTCAAATTTGACCTCAAACTTGACACTTTTTCGCACATCTTGCGTGCTAACTTCCAAGATGTTTTGAAATGGTTTGAGGCTTATCAGTTCCCTATTTGTGGTTCATCTTACGATACAAGGCTGCTCAAAGGTCAAGGTCACAGAAGGGTATCCCTGCTAGAGGCTATTTCACTGATTCAAGCTAGTAATAATAAATAAGACAATTTTGCCGTCCAGAAGCTCTAAATGAAGGCTTAGAGGAAAATAGATGCCAGATTCGTGATCAGCGGGTACAAATCCATCATAAATGACCTCTCATGTGTCAAGGTCAACCAGAGGTCATTCGAGGTCACATGAGGTCAACATAAAACTTGACTTTTTCCGAACGAAATATATATCATTCGACGCGGCTTGACAAGGCGAATGCGATGGTACCATTGCCGTAGCTCTAGGACCTTTTTTGTCGAAGTTATTTGCGAAAAACTAAAATCACATTTCGGGGTCGTTGACCTGACCTCTGACCTCAGGTCATCCAAAACTATTTTTCTATTTTTCTCTAGGTCAAACGCTACACAGCCGTGCTCGTAATTTGTCTTTATCTCTAAAACTCTATTTTTAGCAGCTATTTGAAGTTTGCGCCTGTGACGCCGAAGTTTGCCGTGCAGGGGTCTAGAAAAATGGACCTTGTGACGTCATCAATGGGGCTAGGTCCAAATTTTTTACTTCAGAAGATGTCAAATTGATGGGAGAAAAGGTACTGAAAGTTTCGCTTTCCTATCCCTAAGCGTTCGGGAGCTATCGCAAATATTCGCCAGGGGGGGGCGAAAAACGCCCCCCCCCGGGCCCGCGAGGGCTAAAGAATGTAGTACAAACATCAACCTGCCTAACAAAACAGCTTTTGACATTATTTCTATGAGCAGTTGTAGACGCACCATCCTACGGTGATATAACTTACAGACTCATACCCAAGCTGGCCAGTGTGTGATGACATGACCTCAACCATCGTCAGGCGACGTTTCCTGAGAGGCCCCGTGAGGTTGTCTCGTGGATAAGTCGGGTTCCGCCTCCTACAGCGCTGGTCCAGCCCGGGCCGAGCCTCTAGTCAGCTGCCGGGCCGGTGAACGACCGGGCGCGCGGAGGAAAGTCGCCACGTAGGCTGTCCCAGCTGCATTCCTGGGCCGACATCCCCCATATCCCCTTGCTAAGTCACTTTTCATGGGCCTCTCGCCGCCCACTCAGCTATCTGGCTGTGACGCTATCCCTGCTCTCAATACTGGCACGGATCCAACCGGAATCAGGTCGGGTGAAATAAACAAGGCTTGCCGCTTATTTAGTTATCAGCTGCGGACAAATCAGAGGGATCTTCACAACAGGAATCTGGACGATGCTCTCTCGTAATTCTAAACTTGGATTGTTTGTTGTTTAGCTACGTCACATGTCCAGTCAACGGTTATATGCTCGAGGTTGGTGGGGACCTCTCAGAAGGAATGCTGAAGCTCGTGGGAGGCACCCACTGCCATCCACTTTCGAATTTCTCCGTCAGGCTTGTTATGTAAGCGGTGGCATTGATATGGTGATAGCTGGGCGCCCTACCAGGGTCAAGGGTCATCCAGTCACGGGTATCACACTCCCAAGCTCCGGCGGTTCACAGCTGGGGCCGCATGCCACCGGCTGACGCGTGGTATGCGATCATACGGCATGGCCTGCGCTGCTGTCACATGGCGTCAACTGACACATGGATCGGAATGCCGGCATTGCATTGCTAAGTGTGGTTGCATGCCACTCGAAAGACCAAAAGTCTAGGCGACTCATGGAACTATTAGGTATATGAGTACAGCGTAAAATTCTGTCTACACCTGTAGAAGGAAGAGTGGTTAGATCACACCACCTCACTAGACTAAGAAGACGTTGGCCTATAGAGTTGCTTAGAGTTTCCGTGGTAAGCATTGTGTGATGCATCCATGATAATTGAGTTTCCAATGGCGTGGGCACAAACACATTTTGTTTGCACAGGGTAGAACTATTTATTCCATATGTTTTTTGCTCATTCATTGTTATAAATGTTCAGCATTCAGGTTCATTAAAATGTTCAAATAATAATTCAAATAATTAAAATTATTTATCCAGTCACGAAAATCAACCTCAATGGGCACTTACCTGGCGCTCCTATAATCATAAATTCAACATTACCTATGGTTGGATATACTAAATAACGATACTGATATAAATGCATATAAACATTGACCATTCACCATCAAACTATCACTTTTCCTCCTCCGTAGCTCCGGGATGTTTTGTACCGGCGAATCCTAGAGGCCTTTTCGAAACATCTTGAGCGCCTCGGGGCTCAGTTGGGCCTCGTATGCGCGTGCAGAGCGCACCTCACCCTTCTCACGCATGTGCTGAAGCAGTGAGGCGAGCTCCACGCCTGCAGACGCCGTGTTTGAGTCGCAGATGATGCAGAGTTGGCGACGCGCGCGCGTCACCGCTACGTTGACGAGGTCACTCTTTCCGATGAAGCCGATGTCGCGTCGTTTGTTGGAGCGCACCAGCGACAGCAGGACGGCCTCCTTCTCGCGTCCCTGAAAGCCTCCGACGGTGTTCACCTCCACGTTGGGGAGCTGGCGGCGCTGCAGCGCAGTGCGCACGACCGCCGTCTGCGCGTTGTACGGCGTCACGACGGCCATGTCGGTCTGCTGGAGTCCGGCAGCGGCCAGCGCGGCGGCGTGCGCAGCCACCAGGTCGGCCTCGCCGACGTTTGACCGGGAGCGGGTCTCGTCGGGCGGAGACTCGGTGAGCTGGCAGCCGGCCGTGTCGATCAGCAGCAGAATGGAACCGGTGTCGGCCGTGTCTGAGACTCCCTCCAGCTCGCAGAGCCGGTGTCGCGCCACGCTGGGGTCGGGCTGCAGGAGACCACCGTAGTGTCGCTCGGCTGACCACCCCTGGATCAGACCGTGCATTCGGTACTGGACTTCGAGCTGGCGCGTCGCCGCAGCACCGTGCAGGTTCATCTGGCGCTCCATGAGCGAGATCGAAAGGCCCTCCTTCTCCCCGGATCGGGTTTTTACCACGGGGGACAGCTGCTTCGGATCCCCAAACAGGAGCAGCTTCTTGGCCCGCGGGATCGCCAGCCAGCATTCCGCTTCCAGCGCCTGTGAGGCTTCATCGATAACCAGCAGGTCGAACATGCCGCCCTTCTCGGTCAGATTCAGCGGACCTTTGGCGTTGGCGATCGCCAGCGTGCAAAGCACCACCTGGGCCTCTTCGATTACCTTCCGCTTCAGTTCTATTTCACCCGGCTGCCTCTTCCAGTCCCCTGCAAGGCGACCATCCCAGTCGTCCTGGAGGTAGCGCACCCACTTGTCGATCCAAAAGTCCAGCACATCCTCCTCGATCCTCGCTGGGTGTCCCAGGCGAATCATGTTCTCCAGACCAGCGTTGCCAAGCTTCTGCAGTAGGTTGTCCACGGCAGAATTGGAGGGCGCGCACGCCAGCACGCGCTGGCCCCTCTGCACGTGCTGTAGGACCACCTCCACCGCGGTGGTGGTCTTACCGGTGCCCGCTGGGCCATGGACGATCGCCAGTCGCTGCTGACGCAACGCAAACTCCACCGCTTCCCGCTGGGAAGGATCAAGTTTCGGGTTGAAGCACTTCAGCTTGCCCTTGTCGTCTAAGAGCTGTGGTGGCAGCTGCGTCACTGGCGGTTCAGGCGGGGTCGCGGGACTCGCAAACAAAGCTGCTTGGAGACCGCCCGCAGGCCCGGATGTAAGCAACGAAAGCTGATTCAGGGCAGCGCACATCCACCGATAGGTGCTGTCATCGTAAAACCGGTGAAGATCGACATGTTGGTGCATGACGAGACTGGCGCCCTGGTCCATAATGAGCGTGACTTCAAAGGCGTCCTTGTGACGGACGACTGCAGTTGACCAGCCGTGTCCGACCCACACATTGACCCTTTCTCGTACCTTCGGGAACTTCGCGTCAAGCCTGTGCGGTGACTTGAGCACCCACTCATGAACTCCGTGGACAGTTACGCGTCTTTGTCCGACAAACAATCCGGTTAGCTGATTGGACGGATGTCCTTGCAGTCTCGCCCGGTCCCTTAGTTCAGCTCTGTGCTCCTGTTGAAGCAAATGAGCGTGCCATTTGGCAAACTTCTCACAGCTCAAGGGTTCCTCAGTCGCATGAGCTTTGCCAGTTGCCCCATTTCCGTCAACGGGTGCCTGCAGTGGAAAATATTGAGGCACATAATTAAGATAGTATATCACCGTAGCTAATAATGTGACACTTGTCATGTGTACATACATGTAAGTACGATGGATGCATTGCCTTGTCCTCTTTCTAGCTTTATTTGACTGCTAGGACAGATGGGCACAGGCAGACAGACGCTTCGAAAGACACTCAGTAGAATTGTGTTGGCATTTTGGTCAATTTAAGATCATTTAAAAGTTATCAAAGGTCACCGAAGATCAAGTTTCCAGACTTAGACATTATATAAATCGATAAAAAAAATGTAGAGGCATAAACACTTACGCCACAGAGTGGTTCATTATTACCATAGCAGTTAACGTAGGCTAGGACAATGCAAACTCCACAGGTCTTACCTTTACGCTGGAGGAGATGCCTGGTGTTTTTGAAATTTGTGCGCCATCACCAGCAGCACTCGCGCCTTCTGCCGCTGTGGGTGGCTCCGACGTCACACTGGCGGCCTTCTTAGTCCCCTCGCCCGCCGTGCTCGCCATGACTTTACTCCCCGTTCGCCCGACGCGATGTAAGCTCGCGTTGACCGCCAATCAAGGCAGCCCCATCTGGCCTGCTATGACGTGATGCATTATCGCCCCTTGTCAGCATATCTTATCCACCGGGACTACCCCTGGCACCGTGGCAAGTGGAGGGTGAATAAGAGTCGGTTATCGGCGTAATATGTGGGCTGTTGTCTGACATGGTGCATGATAGCGTTGGATGTTGCTCGTTTTTAAATACGAGCCCCATGGCTCATTGTTGTTTGAGTAAACACTTATCAAAGTAAATAAGGATATGAAGTTGATACTTGATGTCACTTTGGATGTCACGATCTTTGTTAAAGGAAGACTGCCACCTTCAAAAAGTTTTCTCAGATCGGCCTATGATTTATTCCCTGGATAAAACAAAATTTTAGAATTCACCTGACAAAGTATCATCACGTGAATCGCGAAAAAAAAATTATCGATTATCATACAATTATCAATCGGTTAATGTCTAGCGACAATGTTTACACATCACTAGACTTCAAGGTCATAAGATTATTACATTTTATTTGAAAAGTAAGGTATTTTATGATTTACTAATATGTATGATTTCATAAGAAATTGGCCATGTTTAATTTATTTTGCATTTAACTTCGTAAAACATTTAAAAATTATGGCTCATTTGGAATGGGTCTGGCCCATGTTAAACCCCATTTCCCACACTTTTTTGGAAAAAATGAACTACTGAATATATAAGTTTAACTTTTATTTTGACACTCCAAAATTCTTCTCTGATCTCGAAACAATCAAAGTTTTGACATATATTTGCCAAAAGATAAGAAAATTCATGTTTCAAAGTTATCGATAAACAGTAGAGATGTCGGTTTTCTTGGACTAAAAAAATGGCATCAAACTGAACTTTGGTCTCCGATTTCTCGCAAACGGGTTCGAATTTCGGAAAACCGACTTCAGTCTGGGACATAGGTGGCTCAGCTCTAGTGAAAACCGTTTTGTGAAAAAAAGGTGGCAGTCTACCTTTAAAGGTAATATTCAGGGTTTTTCCCAACATTTCTGAGTAGTTCAGTGAAACCTGTAAAATAGGGTGACTTAGGCCGAAGCCATTTGTCTCAAACTACTTGCCCAATTTTCAAATGGTGGCTCTCCTAAGTTCGATTCCACCGCCAGGTGCTACTTTTACCAGCCTACTCGAATAATTTCCCTATGATATAGGCTTAGCACTAGCTAGAAAATTCTAGAACATTTATGCAAGGCCTATGTGCCCCGGGGTGTCGGCTACCACATGACATGGGTCGGATATGGGGCGATTGGCATTTATGATGCCAAGCCAGCGCCCTGCATGCCAATCTATGGCCACTCAAAAGTTACCTACTTGGGAAATAAAATATCTAAATATTTTTTCCGTCTAGTATATTCTAGACATCGCATATAAACGAATTGCTCCATCCGGTTCCCGAACTCAAATTGCACCTCATGAATACCTTTCCGTCAAAACAAAACATCGAAGTTTGACTTTCTTGGAGTGACCGTGACCTGATCTTCATTAGAAACGGCTAAAGTGTCTTTGAACTTCACAAACCACACTATATTCAGGTTTTGTGGTCAAAATAGATCATAAAACGTGCATCACATGTCATGTATATAGGTACAGTCCACAGCAGAAGTAACGTGTGGTTTCAGTCATGGGTATGTTCTGCTTCTGAAGCCTAGGAACGATTAGCCAGACTGCAACGAGACTTTAAATGTAGCTTACATGTATCTTCACCCTTGCAGCTACAACTTTATCTATTGACGTCTTCTTTTCAATCAGTCCGCATTTAAAAATCGTCGGTCAAAGCCATCCGTTGAGATTGGTAAAACCACACATTACTTTAGCGGTGGGCTGTACATGCATGCCCTAAAAGTTGCGCGGCCCTTTGTGATCGAGGCTGACCTAGTTTTGACCTAAAATAGCCAATCATTATTTTTTGATAGTTCGTATACATGATTTTTCGCATTGTTTTTTTTTATAAACTAGTTCTCGGTTCATCTGTAAAACAATATTGCGTTGATTAATCCCGATAAATACGTGTAAATTAAATCAACAAATCACACTGTCCCGAAGTACATATGCATGCAGCATGATTTGTAGTCAATAGGCCTAAAAAGTGAACAAAGATATTGCTTGCTTGATAATTTATCAGTCCAGTGATTAACAACATCGCGGTGGTGGCTTGTCTGCAATCAAAACTGAATCATTTCAAAGGTGACTTGTGACTGACGAATCGGTGCGATTGCTAATTTTCCTTGACCTTTGAGAGCGCCGTGGGAGGAGAGAGCGCATTCTGTCATCCGTTGAGTGCCTATACCTATCGGTGTTGATGATTAGGCATTACTCATTACTCATTAGAGTCGTGTCAGTTCCCGCCTTGATTTAGTATTTGATCACTTGCTAATATGCCATAGAGGGAATTTGAAACAGCAGAATCCAATGGGTAGAGTTTCTGGCCATACATGTCCAAGCGTAAGCATAAGCAAAATTTTGGCCATGCATGTAGGTATGGGTAGTGTTCGTGTGATTCGTGGTCGTTTACTCTGATCCAGCACGGCAGACCAAAGTGTTCATGTAATCGTCCAGTTCACTAATAATTGCGTATCTGATCGAATCGTTTCATTAACCGGAGGACCAAAAGAGTTCTTAGATGAATGTCTATTTCTGGATTACTCGTCACACACTGCACCTCAATCGAATCGTACGACGCCGGCGCCGTTGCGCCGGCGGAGCCGCGTCGCCGTCGTCGTCGTGTCGCGAACTGCCGAGCCGGCCGGCGGCGGCCGGCCCGGCGCGTTGGGGCCGGTCAGCACACATATGTGCTCCAGATGACCCCCCAGGCCCTGCAGAGGACCACGTGGACGGCGGGGCTCGGCAGTGCCCGCCGCGCGCTGCCGTCGCTGTGCGGCACGGTACGTTTTCTCTCGAACATGGCCGGCCCGAATTTTCGAGTCGCTCGCGGAAATTCTAAACGTAAGAGAGAAAACATTAACGAAACAACAAACAGCTGCTCGCAGGCAGCGTCTCCGTCCGTATCGTACAGCAATAAACGAACGCTAAAGCTAAGGCTGTAAACTACATCGGTTGCGCCGCGCGTCGGTCCCAATCTAAGGCTGCTACACTCTAAGGCCCTAAACTGCTAATCGCACAGACCGACCGGCCGAATGACCCGGGAGGGGCACTATGACAGTGTGAACGCGTAGCACTGTCGAACGGCTCACAGCCGTTAGCTAATGACTAATCACCAAACAAATGACAATTGACACAAGCGACAGCGCACAGAATGAGCGGCTCATTCTCACACACGCACACGTCAACCTAACACGAATGACGGACGCAGTTAACACTCACAAATGTTCAGACTCCGACGCTGCTCGGCAGCGGCACACGGTGGTCGTAAAAGGCTCACTAGTCGCCCCACTCACTCACACATTATCCGTCTGAGTCCATTTCCTGCCCGTCACCATCGCACTGGAGACGGCAGAGACGAGAGATCGGCCGCCTAGAGCGACTAGTGGCAGTGGCCATTTCGACCACCCGCCCTCGGCCGTCGGCGCCAGGGAACACGTTCACCACGCGCCCCACAGGCCAGTGCCCGCGAGGCAGATTGTCTTTTGTCACCGGCGCTAATTCGTCGAGCTGCACGTCTGCCGGGTCTGCGCGTCACTTCATCCGTGTGATGAGCGTCCGGAGGTGCGGCTCGGGGCCGGCTCGCCCACTTGGAAGGCTGTAGGTCACCCGTTAGCGGCGGCGCTGGCTGGGCTGACCGTTTCCGGCACGGCATGCAGGCAGGCGTGTACCGCTTCACAGCGGCCCTGTCACTGATGACCCAGAAGTGGTGCCGCAGGCGAGCCAGAACGTGCTCTGCGCCAGAATGGGCGAGCTTCTTGTGTCGGTCGGTGACGATCAGCCGAGTGATGTCTCCGCGAGCAGGTAGAATCACCCGGTGCTTGACCTTGAAGTCGAGCTGGGCGTGGCGCAGCTGGCCCCCGACTCTTAGAAGGCCGTTCGGGTCCAGGAAGGGGTTAAGCCGGTACATCTGGCTGTTCGAGGGAAGCCGCCTTCCGTGCTGGAGAGCTTCGATTTCATCGCCGAACTGCTCGGCCTGTGTGCTGAGCAGCCAGACACGCTCAGCTTCTCTCAGCTCTTCAGCAGTCAGCGGTCCCGTCCGCCGATCAGCTGCTGCTCGGCTGCGGCTGTTGTGAGCGAATCTGCGCGCCCACGCTGTCACACGCAGCAGCCTGAGCCATGATGAGAACCGGCTGGGGTTTATGGTCGGCTCCGCTCCCCTGGTGACGCAGGCTGGTGCTCTCATTTCGGCCGTTTCCTCGTCTCTCGGGCGCTCTGTCGGGCGGGGCGGCGCGGCGGGCCGGTCCTGGGGACGGCGCGACAGGACGGCGCGACCTTGGCCCCACTCTCCGCTCGGTGCCACCTCAGCCACCGAGCGGCCTCGGCTGCCTATGTTCGATGAGTTCAGTGACCCTGGCGCGTGTTGCCATCGAGTCACTTCCGAAGCGTCCTGGGTTTCCTCGCTGACACGGATATGATGCACGTCCTTGTTGACTGGCAGGTTTCGATCCGGCGCGCGGCCGGTGACCGTCCAGCCGAGCAGTGTTCTCACGGCGCACGGCGCACCCGGTGGTCCGTCGATCACCTGACGTGCCACGATCAGTTCTATGACGTCAGCGCCCAGAAGTACTTCTACTGGACCTCGAGTCGTACTCGGCAGATCCAGGTCAGCGAGATGAGGCCATTTGCCCTTCTCCCGTGACCAGTCCATGGCGTGATTTGACACACTCAGCGTCGGCGTCGTTTGGGCGTTCCGTATTTCGTGACGTGTGCCACCGCTGCTGACAGGCTCGATCACGAAGGACACACGGCGTGATCTGAGTCGTTCACTTCCGTTTAGGGTACTCAGGACCAAACTGTCAATGGGTCCAGAGATGCCGAGACGGTCGCTCAGGCCTTCGGTCACCAGCGTTACCTGGCTCCCGAGGTCGAGAAGCGCGTGGGTTGTGCAGCGCCCAGCAGGACCATGCACCGTTATCGGCAGTGTCTGCAGCAGCACCTCACAGGGTGGCTCGACCACCGCAGTGCCAACATGTTTCACTGGTGACGGCGCGCTGCCGGCAGCATTGCGCCGTGGAAACACACGCTCTCCGTTGTGCAGAAGCGTGTGGTGACGTTTTCCACAGTTCTCGTGACCACATTTTGCGCTAGACGTGCACGCGGCGCTGATGTGGCCTCGCACGAGACAGTTGAAGCAGAGCCCGTTTCGACCGGCCACTTCAGCTCTCTC